TAATGAATTTTTAAAGTTTATATTAAAGAAGTTTTTATATTTAATTTTTTTTAAATTTTTTAAAATTTTATATGTTTATAAGGCTAAAAAAATTTTTTAACTCAAAAACAAATTCAAATTTTTACAATTAAATTACAAAAATTGTAATAATAAAAATTGTTTCTCTTGATAAATTCTATATAATTTTAATTTTAAAAATAGCAGAAGTTAATAATTAATAAGTTCATCAAAAATAAATAATAAAATTTTTTTGAATAAAAAATTTTTAAAAGTTATATAACTTTAGTATATAAACAACTTATATTTTTTTTCTTATAAAATAAAAATAAATATTACAATTATATAATTCTTATTTTCAAATATTATTAAAAAAATTTTTGTTTAAATATTTTAATTTTATAAAAATATAAATTATAGCAGTATTATACAAATTTTTTAAACAAATTTGTTTAGAAATAGTTTATAGATTAAGAGATAAGATTAATTTTAAACTTAATTTAAGTATAATATATTTGATTTTATATAATTGAAGTTTATATAATCAAAAAACTTAAGTTAAACTAATTTAGATTTCAAATAGAAACAAATTAAGTTTAAATAAGCAGAAATTAAAATAAAAAAATATTTATAAAGCTTAGTTAGAAGGTTATATATTAAGTTAATTAGAAATAAAGATATTATTAAAGATATTATATAAAGAAAATTTCTAAATTTATATATATATTTGTATATAGATATAAACAAAAAAAATTTTTTTATTAAAAAAAAGTAATCTTTTTTAACTTTAAATTAAAGTAAAGTTTAAGATTTTGTAAAATTATAGTTATATATAAAATTTAGCAAAGAATTTTTTTTATTAAAATCTCAAAAACAGTTTTATAAATGAAGTTTTGAGATATTAATATTTTTTTAAAAAATTCTTTGTTTTTGTTATATAAAGAAAAATTTACATATTATATCTAATTTTAAATTTTAATTAGCTTTTCTAATGAGATCATGTAATATAGTATACAAATACTAGTATACAAATACTAATTTTCTTATATAAATTATAATAAAAATTTATTAAATTTTAATTAAATTGTTAAAGTTTTAAAAATTTTTACTATAACTTGAATTTTTTTTTTAATATACAAATTACAAAAATATTTTAGCAATTATTTAAATTAATTTAATAAAATTTTTATTCTAATTATATAGATTATATAAAAAAAAATAATAAATTTTTATTAAATTTTGTTATATAACTATCAAAAAATCTTTAGTTAAAGTTTGAAGAAATTTACTACTACTTAAATATTTTAATAATTTTAATAAATAATATCTTTAGAATTAATTATAGCTATTTTTATTTTAACTAAAATATCTGATTAAAAATTAAATTATCTGATTTAATGAGTTTTTGATTTTAGTATAATTTGTTAAAATTAAAAAATTATTAAATTCAAAATTTTAATTTTAATTAAATATTTTAGTTATAATAAAAATAGCTATAATTAAATTTATGTAAAGTTAATTTCTATTATATAAAATTAAAAATTTGAGTTTTTTTTTTTTTACCTTTTGGCAATTATACTATAACTTTATTAAAGTATTAGAAAAGTCTCTATATTAATGATCTCTAAGCACTAAGCTAATTATATATATATAAAAGTATAATTTATCTAATTACTTAATTAGCATCTGTAAGTGATCTGCTATATCTAACAATTTTCTCTATAAAAAAGTATTAGTTTTCTCAAATATTTCACTAATATATATTAGTAATATATTATGACTATTTGTTATAACTATTCTTGTCTAAAAAAATTTCAAAAACAAGAAAAGAAAAACAAATATAAAGAAAAATAAAAAGAAAAGAAGGAGGCTTAAATAGAAAAAATCTACAAGCAAAGCTAAATAAATATTTCTTAAATACTACTCTGCTTATAAAAATTATATAAAATATTAATACTATATCTTATATTTCTAATTTAATTTGCTCCTTTTACTTATATTTAAATTAGTTATAATCTGTGATTAGCTTCATTATATATACTATTCAAATAATAAACAAAACAGATCATTTGTTTTGTTTATATAATTATTTTCTAAAATAGATAGGTTGTATAAATGTTGATTCTTTTACAAAGAATAGCCAAATCTCTACTTTTCATAATTAAAAAATTGCAAAAAGTTAATATGAAGATGTTGAATAAAATTGTCTTAATTATTTTTATATTATAGAAAAAATCAAAGATGAATAGGTATAAAACTCTAACTAGAGTTAAAAGATAGTATTATTGCTTAACCTAATCTAAATAGTTTTAGTAAAGCTTATATCTGATCTTTGCTTTAGTTATAATAATAGTATAATAAAAAAACATTAAGACTTGCTAAAGTTAGCAACTTTGCTCTAGTAAGACTACTTATAAATTAGTAGTATTAGTGTAATACTAGACTTAACTTAGTTATAGACTTTATTCTTTATACTGTTCAATAGTATTTCTTACTGAGTTGTTGTTTTTTAATTTTTTGTTGTTGCTCTGTATTAGGTTTTAGTGATTAGTAAAAAGAGATTTTTTAATCAAAATTTTGAGTTAGTTAATTAATTGATTTTTTATTTTTTATTATTTTTTTTATACCTTGTTTTTTTCTATTAGATAATTTTAAAAATTAAAATTACTATTTGGTAATATAGTATAATAGATATTTATTGTTATACAAGTCTTCCAAATTTAAAAATTATAACTTAGAATTAATTTATTTAATAAAAACATGAGAAATTACTTATTATAATTAGTAATATAATAGTATATAATAATAGTAATCAAATTTTATAATAACAATTATTATAAAATGCATCTATAGTGTTTTGCACCTTTTTATTATATTTTTTAAATTTTCTAAGTTTTTATAGGTTTTATTATAGAAATTTTTGACTTAAATTTTTTTATCTTAGGGTTAGTTTTTAAGTTAGTATTAGGGTTTGAAAAGGGTTTTTAGAGACATACGTAGAACATTTTTACTTAGAATACCTCGTACTGATTAATTAGCCAATTTTGAGATAATGCATGCATAGGTGTAAAACACCATACATAGATGTGTTTTAGTAAAATTCTTATAATAATAACTTTAATTACTACGTATCAGATAGTCATTTCTTATTACGTAGTCACACAATTTATTAGTCACATCTTATTAGTCATACCCTCGATTGGTCACACCCTCAAATATTTGTCGGATAAAATGGATATCCGTTAGCAGATAACGATATCTGGGTTGGATAGGATTTAGTCATCCGTGAGTGAGCTATGAACTTATTAACAAAATTTTTGGCAGAATTTAGAAATGCTGACCCGGATCTGCTAAATTTTGGTTGCGCGTTACTACAGTTATGAATTTATTAGCGAAATTTTTAGTTATTTTTGCCACCTTTTCACTAATTTCGCCACCTTTCGCCAGTTACGTCATTTAAAAAATTTTTTTTTTGGCGAAAACGAAACTAGGTTTCGACTTTCGCCAACGGTGGCATCGATTTCCCCGACAATGTTTTCACCGACAGAGTAATGTTAGCCTAATTTAGGGTTAGGGTTATCCAGATTTATAGTTTAGTGTTGGCCAAGATTGTCAGGAAAATCAAATAAACCCTTTCACCAATGGCATATTCACCGATTAGATTTTTAGGGGTCTTTTTTCGATTAACGATAAGTTACGTTAAAACAACAAACGAAATGCTCAATAAAAAAGCTTCTTTAGTCTCAGTACGAGATAAATAAGAAATAAATATAAGTAAAACGGCTATACTAAGTTGTAAAAGAAAGCACTATCGCTATTTTTTGAAACGTCCGGGTATTTTCGGGTAGTGAACGATCGAATAACAGGTAAGGGTGAATTCAACCTATAATTAAATATGAATATATTACAATATTCTATATATTTAATTATAAATTCAAAGTAAGTTTAAAAGATCGTTTTTATGACAACTCACTTTAAATTATGTTATTCTTCGTTGTTATGATTGGCTGATTTTGGGATCAAACCAAATCGGTCCATATGGCGAAACCTCTAACAACTATAATTTGATGTGTTACAATAATAAATTAGCTGCGGCAAAGCAAGATATATTATGATTCAACGTCTTTCGGAATTTAAACTCCCATTGGATGGATAATCATTGTGCGTATATGTATATAAACGATAATTTTTTTTTTGCGTTCAAATCATAAAAAAAAAAAAAAAAAATTTTTTTTTTTAATCAAAAAAAAAAAAAAAAGATGATATCTACAACACAAAATTTCGAAGAATTTATAGAAATATATCCCAATCTATATAGAGCCACATTTAATATAAGATTTGGACCTTTAAATTGGCCAATTTCTATATTTCTTATTAATATAGAACCATTTAAAAATATTTGGATTTTAATAGATACAGCAGATCATGATAATAAATCAAAATTTTTTTTAGCTTTATCAAAACATTTTTTAAAATTTCCAAATTATCAACTTAAATATATTTTATTAACTAATAATAATTTTGATCATACTGGTTCAATATTAAAATTATTAAATGATTATAAAGATATAAAATTAGTTTTAGGTGAACCAGAATATTTTCTTTCAAATTATAAAAATGGTAATGATAATAATCATGTACAGTATATAGTAACTGTTGAAGGGAAAATAGCTATTGATAAAGATAGGATCGTGATGATAAAACGAGGGAATGAAGAAGAATTCGAATTTTTTAATGTTTTAAGGCCTATCTTTATCGCTGATCATACTTTGGGTAAGTTAAAATCTATAATTATAATTTATTCATAAAATTATTTAAAATCATCATTGCAATTAATATATATATATATATATATTTTAGCATTTGTTTCCAATAACATAGGATCAATATCTTACCTTCATATTCCAACAAATTGTATAATGGTTGGGGATAGTTTGACGAATCTTTCAACTTCTGAATGTTCCGATCCGGTGATATCTTTACCAATTACTCCCGTCACTTCTCACTTAAAGAGCATTAAAGAATCAATTAAAAACATTGCAAGATTGGAAGATGTTAAAATTGTATTTCCAGCACATGATCATAGTCAAAGTGGACTTAATATAAACGAAGTTAGAGCATTTGCAGATTCTTTGAGACCATAATAAAAAGGAACTGTTGATAAGAAAAATTTTTTATTATTA